GATTTATTTGGGAGCTGGGTGGTGGGCCCCCCAAAGAACAGAAACAACAACAGGTCTGTTTTCCTCTCAGCTCTCAGGACACTGAGCAGGGATAGCTGCAACAATACCAGAGCCCTGGCTGTTTAGGTTCAGACTATGAAACTCTTCCCAGACAACTCAGGCCACAAACCCATGCCTTATACTGTTCAAGGCTCTGGGAGTAACGGTGAATGAAGCAGCCCCTGCCCTCACAGAACGTGCATCTTAGTGGCCAAAAGGATGACAAATGATGGTTCTACAAGTGAGGTAAAAGGGCCATGGAGGCAGGAAGGATACCATGGAGCCTTTCTATGTGGGGGCCAGGAAAAGCCCCCCCCAACATAAGGTAACTGCTAAGCTGAGTTCCTAAGAAAATAACAGTTAGCCATGTTTGTATCTGGAGGAAAGAGCATGCCAAGCAGAGGGAATGGCAAGTGTGGAGAATGCCTAAGGCAGGCATGTGGGGCATGACCAGGGCACAGCAAGGAGACAAGGTGGGTGGGGCAGAGGGTGAAGAGAAACAGAAAGGGAGGCGGCACGGCCATGTGGACTTTTGACTCCTCTCGCAGTTGAAAAGATCTGCCTTGCATTTTTACCCTGGCTCTGTGGTGATGGCAGCTTGAGAAGAAATGTGGGTGGATGGAAAGAAATAGATACACAAGAGGAGAGATTAGGTAGATGTTGGCTTAGATAAAGCTGGTCCCCTTGGATCAAGGTGTCTCACCCAGACAGGTGAGACACACTGAAATTTGTTTTATGCATACATAAACACACACACACACACACACACACACACACACACACACACACACACACACACACACACAGAGAGAGAGAGAGATATGTTTGAAGACTGGCAAACAGGCTTTGCTAATGGGGTCTCTCTCTCTCTCTTTCTCTCTCTCACTCTCTCTTGTGTGTGTATGTGAGAGGAAATTCAGTGAATCCAAATTTTCTGTCCAGAGCAGTTACAAGAATGGGGTTGACATGGATGGAGACAGGTTTGGGGAGGAGGGAGAGCAGCTTGGACACAATAATTTTTTTTTTAAGACAGGGTTTCTCTGTGTAATTTTGGTGCCTGTCCTGTAGACCAGACTGGCCTCAAACTCACAGAGATCTGCCTGACTCTGCCTCCCAAGTGCTGGGATTAAAGGTGTGTGCCACCACCACCCGGCCCACATAATAACCTTTTAAAAAGGACTTTATTTTTATTTTATGTATATGACTGTTTTGCCTGAATGTATATCTGCATACCACCTGTGTGCCTACTACCCAAATAAACCAGAAGAAGGCATTGGATCCCCTGGAACTGGAGTTACAGATGGTTGTGATTTGCCACAGGGGCACTGGGAATTGAACCCAGATCCTCTGGAAGAGCAACCAGTGCTCTTAACCGCTGAACCAACTCTATAGCCCAGGACACACTAATTTTGTCATGAGGCATCCAAGTTGACTGATCAAGCTGGAATTCAAGACAGAGACTGGGCACAAGAGAGAGCTGTACTAGGGAGTTGTCACCCACATAAAAGTGGTTGGGGCTGGACGGTGGTGGAACACACCTTTAATCCCAGCACTTGGGAGGCAGAAGCAGGCAGATCTCAGTGAGTTTGAGGCCAGCCTGGTCTACAAAGCGAGTTCCAGGGCAGCCAGGACTGTTACACAGAGAAACCCTGTCTCGAAACAAACCAAAAGAAAGTAGTTGGAGCTTAGCCTAAACTTGTCTCCATAATTGGATGATAAAGTCTAACCCAAAAATGGCTTCCATACATAGTGAGCAGTAGCCCAGCTTGACATTTAAACATGGTGGAACCTAACTATGAGTATACTCCTATGACTAAGTAACTGAGTCTCCCTGTCACAGCACTTGAGTTATAGCCAATCATAGGTTACCAACTGATCAACACAAGCAATGAGCTTGTTTCTGTGTAAATTTTTTTTTGTTTTTTGAGGCAGGGTTTCTCTGTGTATCCCTGGCTGTCCTGGAACCTGCTCTGCAGACCAGGCTGACCTCAAACTCAGAGATCTGCCTGCCTCTGCCTCCCAAGTGCTGGGATTAAAGGTGTGCGCCTCCATGCCCGGCTCTACCTTGTTTTTTGAGACAGGGTCTCTCACTGGCCTGGAGCTGTCAAGTAGGATAGGCTGAGCCAGGGGGACCTCCTGTCTGCACTCCCCCAGCACTGGGATTACAGGTATGTGGGACATTTTTATGTGGGTCTGGTGACTGAACTCAGGTTTTCATGCTTATGCAAGCACTTTACTGAGCCATCTCCTTGGGTCAGAGTTTCAAAAAATATTCAACATTCTAAAAGTGTGTGTGGGGGTGGGTGGGTGGGTGTGTGTGTGTAGGTCAGAGGACAACTTCTGGGAGCTGGTTCTCTTCTTCCACTCTGGGTCCCAGAGGTTGAACTCAGGTTTTTAGGCTTTGCCCAGAGACTTCAAGCCTAACCGCACCAGCTCCCCGTGTCAGCTTAATGCTTCAGGGCGGGGACTCTGCTGATGGTTGCCTGTTGGGTATTCTGTTCTGGGGAGGTGGCCAGGGCTTTGGAATCAGAACTAGATTCAAAACCTGACTTCACTTTCTCCTGGCCCTGAGGACTTGGGGAAGTTAGTTTACCTTTCTAAGCCACTGACCTTCCTCTGGGACGAGGACTGTGTAAGAAAAAGACTGTGAAGGCTTTAATAAGATAATCATCACACTGGGCTAGCATGGTGCTGGGCTCCACAGCTGCAAGTCCACTGCTCCTTCCCCATGGGATTAAACTCTGACCCACAAAACTCTCCCCAGGAGAGGATGAGGCTGGAGGTGGGGCCTGTAGACTGTGCATCTTCCTGAACTTGAGCTGAGAATGAACACTGGGCCAGTCAGTGGACCACTCTGGACCTCTTATCAGAGAAGCAAACCAAGGACACTGAGTGACCTTCGAGACTTAGTGGTGACTGTCTGGCTCCTATTCTTGTTCCCAGAAGACCCAGATACTTGTGAGTCCTGCCCTAGGTTCTGCCTGGACATCTTGTTAACAAAGCTACACTGTGAACCCAAGCCCCAGATGGGAACCTTTGCAGTAATTAATTGAGAAACCAGTCTGGTGTAGAGGAGATGGCCCTAGCGTTTTCTTTCTTCAATTAGCTCTGGGGTGTTCTGGTCCCCAAGTTGTGCTTAGCAGAGTTGAAGTTTCTCTGGCAACATTGAAAGAAGGAAGTTTGGAGTGTTTTCTAAAATAACTGTTAAAAAAAACCCAAAAAACAAAAAAACTCCTGTGGACCAGGCATTGGTGGCGCGTGCCTTTAATCCCAGCACTTGGGAGGCAGAGGCCAGTTTGGTCTACAGAGCGAGTTCCAGGACAGGCTCCAAAGCTACACAGAGAAACCCTGTCTCAAAAAAAAAAAAAAAAAAAAAAAAAAAAAAGAGAGAGAGAGAAAAGAAAAGAAAAAAAAAGACTCCTGTGGTCCTGGGCCTTCTACTGGCCATGTCCCATTTCAGGGCTGTGCTAAAATGCTGACCTCCCTCATTCATAAAAGAAAACAAAGGGGACGCTCTACAGATCTACAGACAGACTTGGAAAGACTGATTGTTGCCAGATCTGGCAGAGGGCGTGGGCTCCACCCTGGGCAGCAAGTGCCTGAAGGTAACGGTTAGGAAAGAGACCCGGATATCAGGGGTCGGGCGAGCAATCAGAGATGAAGCCCCGCTCTGTAAACGCACACTCTGCTTAGCTCCTGCCTGGCTCCCACCTCCCGCACCTTTCATCATTGTCTTCACCATGCTCTGCCGGTGACTAGGATTAGGCCTGCCGCTCGGGGACGGCGTGGAGACCTGTCCTATTGTCCCATCGCACTGTCGCCGAGAGTGGCAGTTGCTCAGGTTGTCATAATGACCTTCCCCTGCCAGCTCCCTTTATTTGCAGAGACACTCCAGCGCTTGTAGAAACAAGATGGCCAGGGCTCTGTGGAAGTTGGAGCAGGCGAGCCCGTATCGCCACCTGCTGGTGGATGTGGTAGTGGCCGACAGAAAGGGAGCTCACTTAACACTGATGTTCTGGGGTTTTTAGGGGCCCTCAGTTGCAGTCCTGGTAATAGTGGGTGGAGTAACTATTTTTATCTATATACTTCCTCCAGTCCTAGCAAGTAGCTACATGTTTCTCTGTAGTCATCCTCCTGCCTTCCTGAAAGAATAGTTTTACCTCCAACACGTGTATCTCAGGTTGTATAGGCTCATATCTTGCGTGGTGTTTATGCTCATGGTTTCTGTCTCTGCCTTTTGGAGGACTTTATTGGCAACTTTTTTCTGTGGTATTATGAATACAACACAGATGTGCACTTGGTTACCTGTTGACAAACACTTTGGTTGATCCAGTTTGGGGCTTTAACAAATAGAAACATTATGGCCATCCCCATAACAGTCACTGTGTGGACATTATTTTCATCTCTTTTCCAGCCCCCAGGTTAAGCACATGGTTGACTTTGCAAAAGTCAATTTCCCACTTGCAATTTGGCTGTGGAATGTGACTTCCTCATCTCACCCACCTCTATATTATCTTCATATTACCCATCCTCTGATGGTGTCTATTTCTATGGGTTTTGGTATATTCAGTGTTCTATAGCCATTGGTACTAATTCTACAACATTCTCAGCAACCACAGGAATTCCATACCCTTTAGTTACCACTCAAGCCTGTCCCTAGCAGAAGTCTAACCTGATTTCTGTCTCTAAAGACCTATTCTGGACATGACCTACACAAAAATGTAGTCACACTGAGTGTAGCCTTTTGTGACTGGCTTCTTCCCTCGGCATGTTTTCAAGGCCATCCATGCTGTGTGTTCTGTTGGCAACTCATCTCTCTCTAGGGCTGAACAGTCACCGTACAGAGACATCACGTTTTGTTGATCCATTCCACATAGTGTTTCTGTGGACATTTTACTGTCTCTCTCCTTGTCTTAGTTATAGTTTCTATTTCTGTGAAGAGATAGTATGACCATGGCAACTCTTATAAAGGAAAACATTTAATTGGGGCTGGTTTAAAGATCCAGAGGTTTAGTCCATTATCATGGCGGGGAGCATGGCAGCACGCAGACAGACATGGCGCTGGAGAAGGAGCTGAGAGTTCTACATCTGGATTCACAGGCAGCAGGAAGAGAGTCAGTCACTGGGCATGGCTTGAGCTTCTGAAACCCCTAAGCCCACTCCCAGTGACACACTTCCTCCAACAAGGCCACATCTCCTAATGGTGCCACTCCCTATGTGCCTTGAAGGCCATTTTCAAACCACCACAGTCCTCAGAAGCAGGAGGCTCCATCACCTCAGCTGGCTGTCCATTGTCTATCAACAGAATGCCACCCCAAGCTGACTTGTTTAGCCTGGGCACCCATTGAAGGGACTCTAGTTGGCCTAAACATGGCAAACATGGCTCTGGTGGGCCTTTCCCTTCCCCTATTCCCTCTGCCTTGCTAAAAACCATCAGATTACATTCCTGAAGCTAGCACCAAGGTCTGTTCCCTTATTTGGCAATGAGGTTTCCCTTTTACCTTTATAGGCCACCATTTGCCTATGGGCCACATCTGTCTCCTCTCAATTCGGAGGCAGTCCTTTGTCCCTCCAGGACAAATGTTCCTCCCCCATTCTTGTTCTTTTCCCTACTCTCTCTTCCTCTGTCTCCTGTATTTGTCTCTATATTTCCTGTCCTTTGTGCCAAATACTGGTCCTTTCATCAATGTTCCCCATAGACTTATCAATGTCTCAGCACTTTATTCTGTGATGGGATGACTTGTGGTCCTACCCTCCAATAGCTCAGACCATAACCTTACTCGGAAGTAGGGTAATTATCAATGCACTTGTTAACATGGAGTCATCGTGCCCTGTCTCAGTGTGATTGTTGTCCTCCTCTTCCTGACATCTCCATCACAAACTTGTTTTTTGTTTTTTGGTTTTTCAAGACAGGGTTTCCTCTGTGTAGCTCTGACTGTCCTGGATCTCATTCTGCAGACTAGGCTGGCCTCGAACTCAGAGATCCACCTGCCTCTGCCTCCTGCGTGCTGGGATTAAAGGCCTGCACCACCACCACCTGGCTTCCATTACAAACTTCTAACCCTCAGAACTGCAAGGAGCTAGAAGTGTCTACTGTTGAAGCTGCCCGGTCTCTTAAGGCTCCCTCCTCAAAGCATCCACACCCACCCTTTCTTCCTGGTGTGTTCTTGTCCCATAATGCATTCTTGGAGTCAGACACTGCTGCTCAGGAAACGGCTGAGTTCCAGAGGTGGGTGCCCTGGGCTGGGTAGTGGGGCCACCCAAGCACGCAGGTGGGCACAGTGTAGCTGGCAGAGGTGCCTCTGAAGGGCTCAGCCCTGGTCTCTTCTCTGATGAGGTGCTCTGGTTTCTGTGGGCCTCTGGCAACATTTTACTCAGTTCCACAGGATTCCACATTGCTGTAGAGAAGAGAGGCCTCGTCTACCTGTGGCTGGAGCCATTCACAGGGGGTGTGTGAGTCCCTGAGGAAAACCATGAGGCAGAACAACAGGTCGCAGTTTTATGACAGAAGTACAGGCTGTGTGGAAAGACCCAGGCAAAGTGAAGCCTGTGGAAAGCTTGGGTAGATCCTGTGACTGACTAAACATCCTGGGCTACTTGGTCACTACCACTGGACTCTCGGCCCAGGTGGGTGTTTGTAAAGGACAGGCCTTCAAGGGTACCTGTTCACACCTGTGGCCAAAAGTGAAGGCCATTGAGAGCACACTGCCCTACTGTGCTGGTGACCTCAACTTGGTCTGACCGTCCTGAAAGCCCAGCAGCTGTGGACAGTGTTGGTGGTGGCCTGTTTCCTAGAGAATGCATTTGTGATGGGTAAATGTGGAGGTCTCCTTGGTCTGGACATCCCCTCAAGTCTTTATCATCCTGGAGACACCCAGACCAAAAAGGCACACTCTTGCTGGCAGAAGCTCAAGTCGCAGTGGGGATGGAGCAGAGGCGACATGGGTACTTTCTGGACCACATCCCTGAAGGGAGGGAATGCTAGCTTCTGATGACAGGGTGTGGTACAGGGTTGCAAGCTGGAGCAGAGGCTAGACCCTAGGATGGGAGCTACACAGTGGCAAGGGAGGGAGGCTGAGCAAGCAGCAAGGCACTGGGCCCTCCCCCCACCAGCGGGGCTTCTAGGGCCACTGGCTTTTGTTATAGCAAGAAATAAAAACTGATGCTTTATGGAAGCCACTGTTGCCTGGGTCTTTGTTACAGCAGCAAGGAGATGAAAAGGCTGAAAGCCAGACTTGCCGGGTTCAATCCTGAGTGCCGACATTTCCTTGCGGTGGGGAGGAGGGGCGGGAGAATCACACGATAAGCCAGATGTGTGCCTTTAACTCAGATTCTCCCACTAGACAATGGCAGAGGTACTGGTCAGCCTCTAGGATGAGAATCCAACAAAGGAGTGCTTCACAGAGCACACAGAACAACACTTACGATGCTCACTGAATTAGCAAGTGACTGCAGCAGCCAGCCCAGAGCTTGAGCGGCACAGCGGCCCTCACTGTGTCCGTCCCCTGGTCTACTGTGCCCTATGTCCACAGCACTCCCCACCAGGGTGATGAGACCCCTGGTCCACTGTGCCCTATGTCCACAGCACTCTCCACCAGGGTGATGAGACCCCTGGTCCACTGTGCCCTGTGTCCACAGCACTCCCCACCAGGGTGATGAGACCCCTGGTCTACTATGCCCTATGTCCACAGCACTCCCCACCAGGGTGATGAGACCTCTGGTCCACTGTGCCCTGTGTCCACAGCACTCTCCACCAGGGTGATGAGATCTCTGGTCCACTATGCCCTATGTCCACAGCACCCCACCAGGGTGATGAGACCCCTGGTCCACTATGCCCTATGACCACAGCACTCTCCACCAGGGTGATGAGACTTGATGGAGATGTTCAGACCAAGGAGCAGGTTCACTTTGAAGTAAGTGTGAGTCCTGGGGACCACACTACTATAAAAAAGAAAAGGGGAATATTTTCCATTAGCGGCTTCTTGTATTAAACTGTGAGAAATAATCTTCTGTGGGTTGACTTGAGGAGGCTTCATCCATTCGTTTTTTCCTAATAACAAAAGAAAAGAGCAAATATGTGAGGCCACACCTGCAAGTATTTTATCCTCACACTATAGAATCCATTCCAACACTAACGGGCTCAAAACAAGAGTCCCCCGGGCCTAGAGAGACAGCTCATTGGCTGGGAACACTTGTTGCAGAGAACCCAGGTTCAGTTTGCAGGACCCACGTGGAGGCATACAACAGCCTGGTAGCTCCAGTTCTAGGTGGATCTGATGCTCTCTTCTGGCCTCTACCGGCACTGCGTGCAAATGGTACACAGGATTTATGCAGGCCAAACACCCACACACATTACTAAAAATGTATCTCTTTTGTAAAGAGGCCTCTCCACTACTCCTCAGTGGTGACACTGAAGTTAGAGGAAGGACTTGGTGTCTGTGACTCACGGGGCCATGCCACAAGCGGATGACTGTCTTGTCAGGTCTTGTCTGAGTGCTCCTTTCTATCCCCAGTGGAAGCCACAACTGTCAGACACAGTGTTCTGACTGCCACAGACCCTAGGGTTCCCCTCAAGATTCAAGTTCAGGATAGAAGAATAGCTGTGTGAGCCAATGTCGCCTGGTGCTCAGATGCTAGTTTCTCTAGCATGGCTGCATCCTGGAGTCACTCTTGGGGTTCTGTCTGTGTCCAGGTGACTCTGGCACGTGAAAGAGCCTGGGAGCCCTCCTTCCCTCTGCCTGGAGAGGCCACACAGTAGGCGGCTACTGCACCCCAAGGCTCAGCCACGAAGCCTCCTCCAGAAAGCCTCCCCGATTCCTCTGGTGACTCAGTGTTCCTCAGGCACCTAGGGTACACACAGTGACCTACGGGTCTGCCTCCCTACTCTGCACCTATGTGAGGTCCCCGCCACTCACTGTAAATACTGTTCCCTGGCCAAGCTGAGGTTGCTGCAATCCAGGGCCCTGCGCAGTTCCCGCTGCAAGCGCTGCTGCTGTCGCTCCTGCAGTAGGCTAGCACGGGCCTTCTGGATCCTGCGTCGGTCCCAGTCCATGATGCGCTGGCGTTCTTCCTCCTGAAGCCTCTGAAGGCGGGAAAGGGGGTTTACCACCTTCTCCCGGGGGCCAGGAGCTCCGGGGGTTCACCTAGGAAATCTGGCCTCTTTTTGTGGATGGAGAAACTGAAGCTCGGAGAAGGAAGGTCACGTGACCTCACCCACCCTGCCCTTGTCCTATGTGGCCTGACTGCTTTCTGGCCTCAAATGGCATTGATATTCTCTTATTCCTGAAGGAACTGGGGACTTGGCTCCCACAGTGCTCCCAGCCAGGCTGATCTCTATCAGGTCCTCAGGAAGGTTCCCAGCTGGCTTAGCAAGCCAGATACCATCCCAGCAAGCTGCCCAATACGTGGATCACCTGTGGAACCCCTGAGCATGCTGACATTGAACCTCACCCTGTGACAACAGTGTCACCATGAGGGTGTGGGCGATAGTCAGCCCTGGCTGTGCACTCCAGATTCTTCTTTGCGAAGCGTGAAGCCCTCCGGGGACACTGGATTAGTGCAGAGAAGTGGCTCCCGAGAGAGCTCAGCTTGGTGAGCTTCCCACAAATGATCTCCCAGGAGAAGCAACTGGGTGGGCCAGGTTGAAGGAAAGAGGGGCATCCACACCAGAGGAACGGTGGTGTCCAGCATGGCCTCATGTCAGGGCCAAAAGTCAGCTTGCACTGGCTTAGTCACCTGCCACCTGGGAGGAGTGGCCTTGCTTCTGGGACTCTCAGAGGCCTCTCTGTATAGGAACTGTGTAAAGACACCACAGCCAGCAGCACACCTGCCTCAACGTAAGCTCCATTTCTGGATCGCCCCAGGCACAGAAAACATGGAGAAGCCAGAGCACCCAGAGGCATGGAGCAAGGGCCGGCCTGAGCAAGAATCTTAACGTGGTCTTTCTCCCTTTGTGTGGTCCTGCTTTCTGAGTCTTCTAGATTAAAAACTGGACCAAAATGCAGGGTTTAGGACAGGGAGCAACCTTTTTCCACAGCCTAGCTGAACAGATGTATGACAGACAGACAAGGCCTTCTGCCATTTTCGCCCTGTGCTCTCCACCCAGGCTAGCCTCCCCTGCACCCGATCACAGGGCAGCCCTTCCTCACCCCAGCACTTCTCCTGCTGGGTTGCTGAGGGGCCAGTCCACAGCCTGGGAGTGTGTGGTGCAGGGACTCTCCACCCTCCAGGAACACTTTCCCTCCCCTGACCTCCAGGACATCCCTCTCGGCATCCATCTACCCACCCCTTCCCTGGCTGCCTTCAGCAGGATCCCGCTTTGGAAATGGTGGCCATGCCTGAGCCCCAGACCTCGGGGCTCCTCTCCTGTCTTCTTCACCCATGATCACACCCGGGATTGCTACCGTATTACTTTCTGTAGTTGACAACTCCAAACATAAGGCCCTAGCCTAGACCTTGTTCTAAGTCCTGATCACAAACCCTGCTTCCTCCTCAGTTTTCCCCACCTACACTTTACCTGGAAACTGTGGACAGCAAATGGTAAGAGTCCCCAGGAGCCACCATCCTTTCATCCTTAGTAGAGAACCACTAGTGTTACATTCCCCAATGTCCTTTACAGTTGGAGTAATCTAAATGTTGTCCAATGAAACATGGCTGGAAATGTCTTGGGGAACTCCTTTAAAATGTTATCCTGACCTCTCCTTCTCCACGGTTTCCTCATGTGTGTGATAGCTGATGTTCAAGCAGCCGTTTTGCACAAAGGTAGGACCAGGTGCCCAGGATGGAAGAATACAGTGGCCACAGAGCTGCTATTTAAGCCCGAGACGGTTCTGAGGGCTGATTGAAGACAGATTCTACCTTGTTTACAATGCGGAAGTGGGGGCTTTTGGGTTTCTGTTGCCACAGCAGGCAAACCTCATCTCACAGATTCCTAGTGGACATCACACAGTTAACACATCCAAAGTTGTACTTGTGAGCCCCGACACCACCAGCACGTCCCTCCCACCAACTTCCCATCTCCGTAGACACCAGTCCCATCCTCCAAAAGGCCTGAAGTCACCCTTCTGTCACATGTGCCACACATATCATATGGCCATAGTTTTTGGCTCTTATCCCCCCACCAGATTGAAAACTGCCTCCGGCAGAGGAAACTCTCAGAGTGAACATTCATACAGCTGGGTGTGGCGGTAACTCCGGGGTGCAGAGGCGGCTCTGTGGCCCAGGAGGGGCTCACCAGCTTCTCCTGGATTTGTTGCTTCTGAACATAGTGGATCTCTTCCAGCTGCTCCCGGCTCATGCCCTTCCAGCGGTCAGGAACCACACGGTGAGGCCCAAAGGAGCTGGCAGCCTGCTGTGGGTTCTCAGAGAGCAGGTCCCCGTGCAGCAGGTTGGTGATCTCGGCCAGGTTGTCCTCCTGCTCCTGCTGCTTCTCTTGCCTCTTCCTTTCTGCCAGCTCCACAATCTGTGCAGAGAAGGACCTCAGAATACGCTAGAGAGACGTCAGGGTCAAGATCTCATCTGGGCCCTGGCTGCGGGTTCGAGACCCCAGGCTACCAGAGCACTGTTGGGCAACGGCTGGGCTTTGGGTCATTCCCCACTGGTGTATGTACAACTGTGGGTCTCTGCACCAATTTGTCAAAGCAAGGAGCTGCCCCACTGGCTCGTTTCCAGTGCAGGGCAGTGTGCATGCCATGGTTCCTAAAACCTTTGGACATCTGCAGGCCACCACCACGAGCTGCCACAGTGGTGACTTCTAAAGGCGGAGCACATAACTGCCTCAGCAGTCCTGACAGTTTCAGCACAGCTCCCATTACAAATGAATTCCTGCTGATTCACCGCTCAGAGCCTGGAAGTGAGGTCTGTGTGATTTGTATAGTACACTGGCCTCTCTGGGCTGCAGGTATTTCTCTGTACAGTCAAGAGATGGTGTGATGGACTACATCTATAGCTGCTGGGACATGTGTGAGGGATTTTTTTTTTTTTTTACTGGATCATTTGAGGTAGGAAGGCTGTAGTGGTTTGAATAAGAATGGCTCCTAATGGATCAGACATTTGAATGCTTGGTCACAAGGGAGTGGCACTAATTGAGGATGAGAAGGATTAGGAGGTGTGGCCTTGTTAGAGGAAGTGTGTTGCTGGGGGTGGGCTTTGAAGTTTTAAGAATCCACACCAGGAGCCAGGCGGTGGTAGTGCACACCTTTAATCCCAGCACTCAGGAGGCAGAGCCAGGTGGATCTCTGTGAGTTTGAGGCCAGCCTGGTCTACAGAGTGAGATCCAGGATAGGCACCAAAACTACGCAGAGAAACCCTGTCTCGAAAAACCAAAAAAAAAAAAAAAAAAAAAATGAGTCCACACCAGGCCCAGTGTCTCTCTCTCTCCCTGCTGCCTGTGGGTCAGGATGAAAAGTTCTCAGATACTGCTGCATTGCCATGATGCCACCGTGCTTCCACCAATGATGATAACTAACCCTCAGAACCTGTAAGCAAGCCCCCAGTTAAACGCCTTCTTTCATAACAGTTGCCCTGGTCACGGTGTCTCTTCACAGGAATAGAACACTAAGACAGTGACCCACCTTAAATCTGGGCCACACCTGGTGGCAGACTATGTAACGGATACAGGAGAAGGAAGTCCTTGCTCTTTGCCTGTTTGCCCTCACTCTCACTGGCAAGATCATTCCTCCACTGGTGCAAGAGCCTATATCCTTGGGACTCTGAGGTATATTGAAGACCACCGGAGACATCCGGCCTCATGGACCAAATGGACAACTACTGGGTTCTTGGACTTTCTGTCAGGAGTCAGCCATTGTTAGAACAGGCTGACCACAGCCTGTAAGCCAGGCTAGGAAACCCCATTTTCAGAGAGATTCATTCTATCGGTTCTGTTGCTCTAGAAATCCTTGAAAGGACCAAGCAGATGCCATAACAGGCTGCTCAGTCTTCTCTCAGAGATCAGGCCTCAATTTCAGTTTCCTGAGACTTGGGCAAGCAATTTCTGAGAGGGCCATGAACAAAAGACATAGTCCTTGCAGTAGCTCCCTTTCTGCATGTACTCTGACTGCTCAAAGTTCAGCCAGATGTTTACTCTCTGGGGCCCCTCACCAACTTAGAGTTATGTGCAGTACGTGCTTGGCCAGCCAGCCCCCATGGTGGCTCAAGGACAAAGCCTGGGACTTGTGCTGGACTGCCCCCAAAGTGATAAATTGTAACCACCAACCAGTAAATTCAAAGGTTACATACCCTCACCCAATTAAAAGAGAACAGAGATAAAAATAAACCAATCCAAGTTGCACCCGTGCAAAACTCCCCCAAACCCCATGAAGGGCTTGTGGATTTTGCCTTTAAAAAGCTAGCCACACAAAGAAAAAGCAAGTTCCTCCTGGCCTCACGGTTACTACGAGTGAGTGCTTTGGATCGAGATTCCCTGCCCGCGGCTTGTTAACAGAAATAAACCTTGCTTTTGCATTCTGTACCTAAGGTCTTGGTGGAATCTTTGGGATCACAATCTGGGCATAACAACCTGACTAACAGAGATGGATTAGGAGACATTTCCCAGCGTTGGTTGTTCTTCCTAGGGAAGAATGGGCAGAGGACTTGAAAGGCAGGGGCTTGCAAAAGGCCAGCTGCCTTGTCACTCAGCACAGGCTTTGTGGCAGACAAGACCAAATTCAAATATTTGCCATTTAGTATTTGGATGCCCTTGGAAAATTGCTCAGCCCTTCTGAGCCTTTTTTTAATAAATGAAAAGGCATTAATCAGCCTCTCTGGTAGGACTGTCAAATAACCAAACATGCTAGCAGGGAATCGTTGCCAGGGATAAAAATATCAGCTACTGGGGTTGGAAAGAGAGCTTAATGTTTAAGGGCAGAGGACCTAAGTTCTATTCTCAGCACCCACATCAGGCAGCTCCCAGCTTCCTATAACTCCAGCTCCAGAGGATCTGACACCTTGTCTTCTGAAGGTACCTGCATTCATATGGCACACACGCACGTGTGCACACACACAATAAATAATAATAATTTAAAAATAATAAATTTAAAAATAAATAGTGGCTACTGTTCAGAGTCCTGATGATGGTCTAAACTGTCCTAACACACTGTGTGCATCCTCAAACTGAATAGAGATGCTGACTATGACACTGTGCCTGACCATTTATTCTATCCTACAAAAAGTGAGCAAGGGTGTGGGCCCTGGCCCCCCCACTGTGAGTTGCTGCCGCTTGCTTGCCGACCTTGACCAGATGTCCTCCCTATTCAGATTCCCTGCTGGTTTCCTTCTCACCTAATGATCAACCGGAGGTTCTTTGTTCCTGTATCCTGCATTTGGTGTAAACAGATGCAAGAATGTAGCGAACTTCTGCCCTCCAGGGATCCCCCATTGTGCTGTAAGCCTGTATTTAAGGTTGCCTCCCTCTTTCAATAAACGGCATTCAGCATTTAGCCGTGGCGAATGACTTGCTGTCTCTTGTCCCTTATTTTTTAATCCACAGCCCCTCGCTTGGACATGGTGAACGGGTATCGGTAACGCGGGCGTTACTACAACAAATGGAGGTCCCTACCAAGATTCTACCAAGACCCTACCGAGATCCGAGAAAGAAGGAACAAGCTGATGGACACTCTTGGAAGGCTGGCCAGCATTTTAAAGAAAAAAGAAAAGGTAAGAGTGAATTGTCATGGGTGCAAATAGGGCACCACCGCAGTTAGACAGGGCAAGACAACTAAAGATTTTAAATAAAAAAGGAAATCTTCCCAATAGAGAAGAGGGAAGGAAAGGAAATTTCCCGTTAGAAAAGGGAGAAAAAATTTTAATCAAGTAAAAAGGATTTTCCCGATAAAAAGGGGAAAAATTTTGAAACTAGGCCTAAAGATTGGGGCCCTATAGAGGAAGGATGAATAAAAGAGAGAAGCCTCTTCCCAGTGGTAATGGAGGAAGAAAAGACTTTTTCCAATTGTAGAATTTTCAGGATAGCTGAAAGTCTGAGCTCTTTCTGCAGTGCAGCATCTGAATTACAAAGAATCGGCAGGTAGGCCTCATTGCTGCTGGCTGAACAGCAAGCAAGCCCAGAGGTTAGAAGTTTTGCTGTCTGTTTGCTTATTTTGGTTCAAATGTTTTTTAATTTTCCCTCGGAGTGGGAATAATATTTAGGATCCCTTCGTGGGAAATGTTTTTCTGTTTTTCCCTTATGGCGGGAATAACTCATTGTTAGGTAGTCCCTTCATGGGAGTAGGATGTTTAAATGTGAGTTTGTGTGTACGCAGGGTGCGCCCAGCGGCAGCAGCGGCAGGCAAAGGCGTGCAGGAGATAGCCCGGAGCGGCGGGCGGATGGACAGGTACGCACTAGTGGGAGGCGGAGCTGCGATGGAGTGCCGCCTGGGCCGGCACCAGCACTAGAGCTCAAGCACTGGGCGGAGCAAAGCTAAGCTGCAGCCTCAGCTCCCGCCAAGCGAGCAGAGGCCCAGGAAGGGACTAGCACCTAAAGTTTAAACGGGGCCTAACTTCTGGTGAAAAATGGTTTCGGTCAGGACATTGAATTCTAAGTTAATGCTGTGTGAATAAAGGATGTTCTGTTCTTTTGATTGTCTTAATAAATGTCTGAATGAATGTTTGATTCTCATGGTAGATAAACTAAAGGAACAGGATTCATAATTTTGAACTATATATTAGGTGTGCTCTTGTCTGTTAATCATTACTGAAAATTTGGCTCTGCTATTTAAGTTGATTTCTAGAAATTCTTGGTTTAATTCTATAGAAATATAACACCTGAAATGGATTGGGTTGTTAGCTTATTAAACAATGTTGCTAAGATTAACCCATAAATAATAATCTCTTACTGATAAAGAGGTTACAAAATTATTTTTCCAGTAAATAAAATACAGGAAAATTGTTTGGTGCACATTGTTAATAATTGGCTATTTGTGCTAATGTGTTATTTATAAAAAAGGATCCTCTTTTTAAGATTTTATATAAAATACTCGAGTATTGCCTAAAGTTACCTTTTCAAATCCTATAGATTGTATTTAATACTTTTATAATTGGCATATGTAAAAAGGACCATGGAAACAGAAGCTGGTGATAGAATCACTCAATTATTATTGCTTTCATATTTTAAATGCAAAATGGCGCCTATATGTAGAACTAGAGGTTTTGAAAGTACAGGAGAAAAGGTGTTTTGACAAACAGTTATCAATGATAAACAGCCTAAATTAAAACAAAATTATGCCGGGCGGTGGTGGCGCACGCCTTTAATCCCAGCACTCGGGAGGCAGAGCCAGGCGGATCTCTGTGAGTTCGAGGCCAGCCTGGGCTACCAAGTGAGTTCCAGGAAAAGGCACAAAGCTACACAGAGAAACCCTGTCTCGAAAAACCAAAAAAAAAAAAAAAAAAAAAATTATATGGGATTGAGATTGGAAGATTATTGGATTCTGGTGCTGGATATACCTATAATTTCACAAGAATCCTGAGATCCCAATTGGCCCCTTAAAAATTCTACCTCTAACCTACAAGGTATCGGCACAGCTCAGACGCCATTACAGAGCAGGCTACTTTTAAATTGGAAGGATGAGGAAGGTCATGCGGGAACTTTTCAACCCTTTGTGCTACCTGACATGCCAGTAAACTTGTGGGGACGGGATGTGTTAGATGGTATGGGAGCAGTGCTTACACAGTACACAGCCTGTACTACAGATGCTGAAGAGTCAGGGCTACTGCCCGGGCAGAGGCTTAGGAAAAATGTTGCAAGGAGACCCACTCCCTGTGGCAGACAAAAACTGTGTCACTAGAGGTCCTGGGGATACTAGAGGACTAGGGTCTTTTCCATAGGGGTCACTGCACAGCAGCCTTCGATTATACAACTGATATAAATCACTTGGAAAAGTGATGACCCTGTATGGGTGGAACAGTGGCCCCTTACTAAAGAAAAATTGGAGGCTGCGAACACATTAGTTAAGGAACAGTTAGATGCTAGACATATCATTCCTTCCACTTCACCTTGGAACTCACCTATATTTGTTATTAAAAAGTTAGGAAAATGGAGGCTATTACAGGATCTTAGGGCTGTAAATAAAACCATGCTTCTCATGGGAACAACAGAGCCTGGCTTGCCTGCCCCTGTGGCAATTCCTAAACATTGGCATTTAATTGTGGCTGACTTGAGGGATTGTTTCTTCACCATTCCTTTGCATCCTGAGGACAGTCCTCGATTTGCTTTTAGTGTTCCTTCAGAAAATCTTAAGGAACCTTATCAGAGATATCAGTGGGTGGTATTGCCTCAAGGAATGGCCAATAGCCCTACTATATGTCAAATTTATGTGTCTTTGGCCATAGCTCCAGTTCGAAAAGCTTTTCCAGATGTTTATATAATTCACTACATGGATGATATATTAATGGCTGCTAAAGATAAAACACTTGTTTTTGATGCCTTTTCTATTACAAGAGGTTCTTAGCCTGGCTAATTTACAGATAGCCCCAGAAAAGGTACAGGTATCTTTTCCCTATCATTATTTAGGTCATGAATTGTTATGCATGGGTATACGTCCACAAAAGATTACTCTGCGTACGGATCAGCTATGCACACTTAATGATTTCCAAACCTTTCTGGGGGATATTCAGTGGCTTCGGTCCACTTTAAAAATTCCAACAGGTCAGCTTTGCCCTTTGTATGATGTCTTAAAGGGCAACCCTGACCCTTTATCTCCCCGTAAATTAACAGCTGAAGGACGTATAGCCCTACAACGAGTGCAAGAGGCCCTGGAACAGGCTCACGTGCAGTATATAAATCTTTCTTCTCCCTTATTGTATTTGATATTTTGTTTTACTCATTCACCTACTGGAGTGTTTTGGCAAACAGGTCCTATTCTATGGGTACATTCCCCAGCTTCTCCAGCGAAAACCATTACTCCTTATCCTCAAGCTGTTGCTCAGATTATATTTGAGAGAATCAAGATCAGTGTTCAATCTCTGTGAGTTCGAGGCCAGCCTGGGCTACCAAGTGAGTTCCAGGAAAGGCGCAACGCTACACAGAGAAACCCTGTCTCGAAAAACCAAAAAAAAAAAAAAAAAAAAAAAAAAAAAAAAAAAAAAAAAAAAAAAAAGATCAGTGTTCAAACTTTTGGTAAGGAGCCAGATATTGTGGTGACCCCATACACCCAGTCTCAAATAGCATGGTTGCAAGCTAATGATAATAATTGGACCATATTGACATATTTCCATGCAGGGTCAGTTTGATACTCACTATCCCTCTAATGATGTATGTCAATTTTTTAAATTGCATCCTGTTATATTTCCCAAGATAGTACAGATGACTCCTATTCCTCAGGCCCGTGTGGTATTTACTGATGGCACTTCACATGGTTTTGCTGTGGTGGTTTCTGGTAACACAGTAAAGAGAATGAAAGTCCAGGGCACTTCTGCCCAGATGGCAGAAGTACAGGCACTGTTGCTTGCTTTACAGATGTTTTCTGATGAGAGTGTAAATATTTATACTGATAGTCAATATGTGGCACATTATGCCTTTGGAGACAACAGCCTACATAGCATCCATTTCTCCCATTCACAAATATTTATTGCAAGTGCAAGGACTTATATGGTCCCACTCACATAACCTTTATGTGGGCCATATTAGAGCTCACACTCAATTGCCTGGACCTCTAAGTGAAGGTAATCAGAGGGCTGATGCCATTACTCGTATGGCTGTCACATTAGTTTGTTCTGCCTTTAATAAGGCTACTCAGTTGCATCAATGTTATCATCTTAATGCTGGATCTCTTTGTCATCATACGGGCATAACCCGGGAACAAGCCATCCAGATAGTTAAATCATGTTCTATTTGTGTTGAATTTTTACCTGTCCCTCATTTGGGAGTTAATCCCCGAGGACTTTTACCTAATCATGTATGGCAGATGGACGTCACACACGTGCCTTCCTTTGGAAAATTACAATATGTCCATGTGTCTATTGATACATAATCTTCTCTAATTTTTGCTTCTGCCCATTCAGGGGAAAAGATTAAGGATGTAAAGAATCATTGTCTTCATGCTTTGGCTTACGTGGGAGTGCCAAAATGCATAAAGACTGATAATGGTCCCACCTACAGCAGTACGGGATTTTCAAAATTCTGCCAAGACTTTTCTATTGTTAATAAGATTGGTATTCCTTATAATCCTCAAGGACAGGCTATAGTAGAACGCTGCCATCATACTTAAAAACATATATTGCTAAAGTAAAAAGGGGGGAGCTAGGAGCTCATCTCTCCTCTCCACATTCTATTCTTTCCCTTGTTTTATATATTTAAAAAAATTTTTTTTTTCGAGACAGGGTTTCTCTGTGCAGCTTTGCGCCTTTCCTGGAACTCACTTGGTAGCCCAGGCTGGCCTCGAACTCACAGAGATCCACCTGGCTCTGCCTCCCGAGTGCTGGGATTAAAGGCGTGTGCCACCACCGCCCGGCTGGCTATATTTAAAATTTTTTATCGGTGGATTCTGCTGGAGTATCCGCTGCAGATAAGCACTGGAGGGCTCCTGTTGCAAATCATCCCTGGTGTGATGGAAGGATCTTTCTACTGGCACTTGGAGGGGACCCGATCCGGTGTTGGTGTGGGCCCGGGGATCTGTTTGTGTCTTTCCACAGGACAATGAGGTTCCTCTTTGGGTTCCTGAGCACTGTGTGCCCCTGTGGCTGCTGCTGAATCCCGACATGGCAGAGACCTATTGGGCCTTCATGAAAAACTCTCCCCTTCTGATGCCAATGGAGATTGAGAACCCAATAAGGCTAGCCTTGGCAAACATTAATGTAAGCCTAGGAACTGTAGCCATGCGGTTGGTTTCTTCAGAAGGTAATGTATGGTAACTTTTATCAAAAATGTTGAGAATGTGTCACCCAGACACCTTGGAGATTAAGGATAACTCTGAAGGTCAATGACCTCCATTTGTTAACAATAGCATGCCAGCTTAGCCTTTTTCATTTTCACAATCCTCTTCAAGCTGGTGTAGCACCTACTTTTCAAGAGTGGCTCTGTGCAACATTTATTGGCCTCCTGAGATTCATCTAGCCTTTTTGAAGATACCTTAAAATTTGTGAGCCTGAATGTAGCCATTAATGAGACCATTAGTTCTGCTCCTTGTTTGCTGCTTTTGTTTTTGTTTTCTTTATGGTTCTTAGTTGTTCTTTTGCAGAGTGCTGGGATCAAGAAAAATGGGCCTTGGTGGTTCGTGTTCCTGGAGCTGTGTCCATGCCAGTGGACCGTGGCAGTTAGACAGAGATGATGTTCACACGCTCCAGAAGAGACTCTGACATCGCTGTTGCTGTTGTTGCTGTTATAGCGGTGGTGGCCACTGCTGCTATTGTTTCTGGGATTGCTATTTCTTAATTGGCTACTACAGCTAGCACAATGGAGACCCTGGCAGCAAAAGTAGCTACCACAGTTAATCTTTCATCTTATTGGGCATGATAAATTTAATGCTACATTTATACATTTAAATTGGCTTTGAAAGTTTAAAAATTATTAAAACTCAAGTTCCATTTGCTTATGGGATACCACCTTACAAGGACTCCAATTTGCAGTAAGGCTCGTTTAAGAAGGGAATGGCTCAGTTGCCTTTAGCCTCCTGGCTATGGGTGGGTTAGGACTTCTGTTGGTCTTTTCTGTGTCGCACAGATTGCAAGCCCAGCGCCACTTTGAGATCTTTGGCAGCAGTCACTCTACAGCTCACGTGGTTGAGTCTGTATGATAATGAGTATTCAGAGACGGGTAATCCTTGGGGGGCGGTCATCAACCTAAGACAGAGCCCTTGTGTGGCCTGGGCAGGTGTCTCCATGACGGGTAAGGTGACCTGCTGACGTCCCACGCAACCTAAGTCAGAAGCTCATTTTTTTAGTAAAAAGGGGGGACCTGTGGGCCCTGGCCCCCCACTGTAAGTGGCTGCCGCCTTGCTTGCCAACCTTGACCAGATGTCCTCCCTATTCAGATTCCCTGCTGGTTTCCTTCTCACCTAATGATCAACCGGAGGTTCTTTGTTCCTGTATCCTGCATTTGGTGTAAACAGCTTAGATGCAAGAATGTAGCGAACTTCTGCCCTCCGGGGATCCGCCATTGTGCTGTAAGCCTGTATTTAAGGTTTCCTCCCTCTTTCAATAAACGGCATCAGCCGTGGCGAATGACTCGCTGTCTCTTGTCCCTTATTTTTTAATCCACAGCCCCTCGCTCGGACATGGTGAACGGGTATCGGTAACGCGGGCGTTACCGCAACACAAGGGTGGTTGTGCAGCTTCCTGGAGGACACTGATGGGACTAACCACATCCTTTCCTTTCTGTGCTGCTGGAACCCTGGCAACTGCCCACCGATGGGACCAACCACATCCTTTCCTTTCTGTGCTGCTGGAACCCTGGCAGTTGCACTGACCTAGCCAGTCTGGGATGGACACGCAGCAGAGGGGAACAATGGTTTCGTGTGGAGAGCCACTGAGGTTTGAGGCCAGCCTTACCAGAGCAAGAGTTAGTGAATACTGATGGGTAAGGTGGGTATCCTTCCTCCTCATTCTGAAGAAGACAAAACAGGCCTCGATGGGCTTTGCCAAAGGCTGCAAAGAAGGGCTTTTTGACTTGAACCCTGCTGGTAGGCTCTAAGCCTGTATGCTAAACCCCAATGTCACACCACCTTTTTTTTTTTTTTTCGGAGCTGAGGACCCAACCCAGGGCCTTGCGCTTGCTAGGCAAGTGGTCTTGCAAGAGCTCTACCACTGAGCTAAATCCCCACAACCCATCATACCACCTTCTAATGAAATAAGCAGTCCCCACTGTGCCTGCCCTGCTGACACAAAATGGCCTTCCTGGAAGGTTCTTTTTTGTTTTGGGACAGGGTCTCTTTCTCTAGCCCAGTATGGCCAGGAACTCATTCTACCATAGCCTTGGAGTGCCAGAATTAAAGGTGTGGACCATCGTGCCCAGCGTGGAATTTTCTTTGAATTTTCATGTTCCTGGCTAAATGGCAAAGTCTGATTCCAGTCAGGAACAGGAGTTGTGGAGGCTGAAGTGCAGCTTCCACGGGCAGAGGCACTGTGACAGTGCTACCTTGAGTATCCACACAGGAGCCGTGCGGTCTGAAGGTAACACCGTAGATGCTTATCAAAACAGAATGGAATGAGCCAAGCATAGTGGTGCACACCTTGAACCCTGCACTCAGGCGGGCAGACTTCTGTGAGTTCAAGGCCAGTCTGATCTACATAGTGAGTACCAGGACAGCCAGAGCTACATAGTGAGACCCTGAATCAAAAAAAAAGTGTGTGTATGTGCTCATGTATATGTACATGTATATATGTATAAGTGCACTGCACGCACATGTGCATGCACAACACACACAAATGTACAAATCCATGAGTGAGACACCATGGTTCCATAAGAATCCCAGAAGTGCTCACAGGAGGAGCTCGGACCACATCTGCTGAATTATAAACACTGAGTGACTGTCAAGAGCCATTGAGCTGACAAGAGCTCCCTCCATCCTGCCATTCACTGTGAGGCCTAGAGCTAAGCCTTCCTTCTGCAAAACAAAAGGACTGGGTTATGTCTAGGTTATGTTTGAGAACACTTGCAGCTTGCAGGTGTGAATCTGTCCTCTGGGTCCCTCACCAACACTGGCAGTCTGCCCCCCTTTTCCTCTCCCCACTGCTGGAGACCAGGTTTCTCTGATTCATGGCAGCCTCTCCGAGTTTTGATCATGGCCCATTACAGAGCATTTTCCTGCATTGCATCTCACAGATTCAGCTCACGGTGTGTTACTACCAACACCACAAACACTGCGTGCGCTACAGAAAACCCACGCGGGTACCTGAGTTCTCTCTTAAGGTTAAGGTGAGGTTAGGAGTAAATGCCAAGCAGGGTGCAGTGGTGGTGCACGCCTTTAATCCCAGCACTTGGGAGGCAGAGGCAGGCGGATCTCTGTGAGTTCGAGGCCAGCCTGGTCTACAGAGTGAGTTCCAGGACAGATAGGCCTACACAGAGAAACCCTGTCTCGATTTAAAAAAACAACAGCAACAACAAACAAACAGAAAACAGTAAATGTGTAATAAATTCAGCCATCTTCTTCCAGAAACCACAGGTCTAGAGACAGGGAGAGCTGGTCAATCACCTGAGAATCGAACCACGTGGAGGGTGCAGTTTCCAAAGGAGAGAAAAGAACTTGGATCAACTTCAGGAGGGGCTGGAGCTCAGGAAGCTTATGGGGAAGCCAGGCAGTTGAGAAGAGCAGGATGCTGTTGGTCTGCACTGACTGCCTGATTACTGAGCTTATGACATGATGAGAACAGAGACCAGTCCAGGCCAGATGGTGTTCATCTGGGCAAATGCTCCTGTTGTCCTGTGCTGGAGGTTTTAAAAACTGACACCCTCCCCTGCCCCTGCAGCTTGCATGGTGAAGTTTCCAGGTTTCAGTCTGAGTTGAGGGACAGGCCAGATCAGACCTCACCTACCTCTCTCCCGGGATGAGCCCTGTCAAGGGCTCTGTCAGAGCTGGTGGTGTGAGTAGTCTGAACTTGGGGCCTCTCACAACTTAAGGAGCCCCAGAGGAAGCTGCTGTGTGCATGTCCTTCCCTTCAGACCGAGCTCAGGGTGAGTATACCTGGTTCTTGTTGAACTCTTTCATGGCTGCACAGACTTCCTTCCTGGTGAGGCCTTCCAGCTTCTGCAAGTCTCGGGCTGTTTCATCAAACTTCAGTCTTGTCTGCAGGTGATGCTCTTCTGCCAGGAGACAAGATGCCATCAGCCTGGGGATGCCCACCAGGGCACCACCAGGGCATGGCGATTCACACTCATTTCTTACCATGGAAGAGAAGGGGGAGGAAGTGGAGGGGGAAAAGCTACTTGCCTCCCAGGTTCTGGGAGAGCTGGATGATTTAAGTGTAGATTGTAGATCTTTGTGAGCAAGGGCTACTAGTGATCTTGATGGTTGGATGATGTCTGCTGTGAACTGGTGATGTCTGCAGCAGTCCTAGGGTACATTAGTTAGGCCTTGCTAACCCTGGTCTATCAGGAGGTGGTTTCAGCCTTACAAAGGCAAGAGGTGGCAGGGACAGGAAAAAGGGCTGTAGAAACCAGACAAGATCTGGAGCAGAGTGCACAGATACTTGTGGAGTGACAGTAGAAATTTGCCAGGCCAGTGACAGGGACAAAGTGGGGTGAAAGTGGAGGACATCAGGAGTGAAGTAGAAAGGTTTGGAGTCAGAACAGGCTTCCAGACATGGCCGAGCACCATTATCGGCAGCTATTGCTTAACCTCTGTGCCCCGCCCCGTCATCCCCCCATCCCGCCCTCATCTGAGGCACAGTGCTGATATGCAATGGACATATGAAAAGTCAGCAGCTTCTGCTTTCTGTACTTGTGCTTAGAGAGGCTCCTCATTATCTCCAAAAACAAGGAGCACACTCTTTGAGGTGCTGGGGATGAAGGGCGTCACACATGCTAGGCAAGTGCTCCTCCACTATGCTATAGCGCAGTCCTGAAGAACCAGACTCTCTAGCCTTGGCTTTCTGGCCTCGGCACACTTTCATCCTCAGCTCACTCATCATCTGTTAATCTGTCATGCACTGGACATTGATCAAGAGCCTAGACTGGGCCCCACATTGCTCAGGATGCACACAACCCAGAGGTGAGAAACGGGTTCAAAGCACACAACCTCCCCCAAACAGATATACAAAGTGTGCTAGTCCATAGAGGAAAGGGAGGATGAGAGGAAATGATGGAAATACCTGACTAGGGAGTTGGAGGGTAGGGACCAAGAAACTGCTTTTCTAGGAGGACACGTTTATTCAGATCTGAAGGACTAAAGGGTCAGGGCAAGTGCAAAGGCCCTGAGGTAGGAGACACATGATGGAATCCAGAGTGAAAGAGCCAAAATGTTTGAAATGCCATGAGTAAGGTGGAGACATCAGATGATGCTGTCCAGGCGAGCAGAGGCCCAAAGTGTACAGTTTATGGGCTGTTTTATATCTTTTTTTTTTTTTTTTGGTTTTTCGAGACAGGGTTTCTCTGTGTAGCTTTGCGCCTTTTCCTGGAACTCACTTGGTAGCCCAGGCTGTCCTCGAACTCACAGAGATCCGCCTGCCTCTGCCTCCCGAGTGCTGGGATTAAAGGTGTGCGCCACCACCGCCCGGCTGTTTTATATCTTATTCTACATCCCATGAAGACATTAGATAGCTTTGAGCCAGGACAAGGGCATGGGTGTGGCATGGTCCAACTTGACATTATTTGAGAGGTATCATTCTGCCGGACATGTTAGAAATGGACTAGAAGGGGAGTAAACAGTTGGAAATCCACCAGCAGAAGTCCATCCAGGTGAGAAAATTTAATGACTGTGGCTTGTTCTCAACAGTGGTGGCAAAAGGGATGACGAGAGGTGTTCAAAGTATACGTAGGAGGTAGAAGGGGCACAGTGGAGGATGGCTGAAGACGGGGTCAGGATGGCCTCTCGGCTCTCTGGTTTGACAGGCAGGGGGGAGGCTGAAGGAGGAGCAGCTCCAAGAGGGCAACCAGGGGAAGAACTGGCCGGCAAGCCAAATCAAGGGGGCTGAGGCTGAGAGCTGACTTCAGAGAGGGGAGCAGGAGGCCATGGGCCAGGCTGGCCACAGCAACTCTAGTGGACAAGGTGGCCAGAGGAAGAGGCTGGGAGGGAAGACAGCAGGGAGAAAAGAGGCGTGGAGGGGCCCAAGCTGAGCAAGGGGACCGAATTAACACAGAGACAGGAGCAGCTGAGGAGGGCAGAGCGGTAGCTCCCACTTAGCCCTGGTTTGCTCTTCCTGGCAGCTCTTTCCTGTTCTCTCACCAGTGACCTGCTCAGAGCCGGCTGCTGCGGAGACTGCCTGCCAAGGAGGAGCTGGAGAGTTTTTCTGTTCCCCACGGAGAGGCCCTTTCATGTCTGAATCCAGAGGTTCTCTGGGTCCAGTGAGTCCTGGTGAGAACCTGCTAGCACTGGGCCTGTGACTGGGCTCCCAAAGTACCCCGTGGAACCTCCATTTTCACACCCAGGAGACTTGGAAGACCTTATATACGTTCATTCATCTTCTCAGCAGGCTCTGCTTCAGCTCCTGCCTCCAGGTTCCTGCCCTACTTGAGTCCCGCCTTGGCTTCCCTTAGTGATGGACTGTGACCTGTGGGTTAAATAAACCCTTTCCAAAAGATGCTTTTGGTCCTGGTGTTTTATCACAGCAAACTAAGGCAATAGAGTGATCAGAAAGCGTTTCCTGTACTGTAGAGGCACATTTGGAGATGTCGACTCCTAGGGCTGAGGTTTTGAATTTTGTAATGTTGGCAGAGCTTTTAAAAGCACCCACAAAAACTGAGCTAGGGGGTTGACTTGCTGGAAAGACTCTTGAGATCAACTTATCTTTTCTTTCATTACCTGCAAGTTTGTGGTCAGCCCACGCTCGCTCCCATTCTCTGTGCTGTTGCAGAGACCATTCTCTGTTCTGCTCCTCTTGGAACCTCTTCCTCTCTAGGAAGTTTAAATCCTCTCCCATGAACTTCTGCATTCCTGATATGGTGTTCCTCATGTCACAGTCTGACACCCGGGCTGGGAGATCTTTCTTAAGGGCCAGGGGGTCAGACAGATCGAACTCACGGCGAGTTTCTGGCTTCTGAAAGCTCTGTTGGAAGTCATTGATAGCGCAACAGAGTTGTTTCTTGTCCCTCCGTTCGCGGTCATGTAGGATGCACATGACTTTGTCATTGTGCCTCATTTCAGCAGCTAGGAAAGACACAAGCATACATATAAGCTAAGATGAGTAAAAATGAATCCACTTTAAAACTAGTTTTCATGCCTTAAGGACAATGTTCCCAAACTGTAACATAGCCATTAAAAGAATAATATCCACATATGTGGCGATATTGTGTTCCCCAAAATATTGTGCACCCTAATAAACTTATCTGGGGTCAGAGAACAGAACAGCCACTAGATACAGAGGCTAGAAAATGGTGGCGCACACGCCTTTAATCCTAGCCTTCTGGAGGCATGGATCTCTGAGTTTAAAGTCACACTGGAAATAGCCAGGCATGGTGACTCAGGCCTTTAATCCCAGGAAGTAATGGCAGAAAGCATATAAGGCGTGAAAACCAGGAACTAGGCTGGTTAAGCTTTTAGGCTTTTGAGCAGCACAGTTCAGCTGAGATATATTCTGGATAAGGACTCAGAGGCTTCCAGTCTGAGGAAACAGGATCAGCTGAGGAATTGGCAAGGTGAGGTGGCTGTGGCTTGTTCTGCTTCTCTGATCTTCCAGCATTCACCCCAATACCTGGCTTCTGGGTTTGTTTTTATTAATAAGACCTTATAAGATTCGTGCTACACACATATATAAAAAGCACCTACAAACAGACTTTACATACACAGGAAAACCACCTGAAAAATGAGCACGGGCTAGCAAAGGCAAAGCACTGTGAAGAAACACAAGTGGGCAACATACTTAATATTAAGGAATATTAACCTTTCATGGGATACATTCAATGAACGTCAGGCAGAACGCTTAAAATTCTGTCAATGGCATGCATTAGTAATGATGTGAAGAAGGAGACCGAGACTTGTGCACTCACTGCTGTTGGAGCATAACTTGGTACACTTCTAACAAAGCAATCTGACCCATCAATTCAACTCCACTGCCACTCTCACATGTGTAAGGTACATAATACATGGACATTCGTTGCAGCAGTATTTGCCAAAAACTTTTTAAAATCTGGGTATGGTGGTACACACCTTCAGACCTAGCACTTGGGAGGGAGAGGCCTGCCTGCCTGGTTTACGTGGCCTCTATGCTTTCATGGGCATGCTTACCTGCACACACATGCCACACACACACACAGACACAAAGACACACGAGAGCAAGTTATATCATTAAGGATACATTAACTAGTATATGCATAAACACATTGGAAATGCACACTTCTGTAGAGGAAAAAAGGGGGAAATCATAAGGAGGTAGGGGTACTTGTGTTATATACAACATAGTTCTCAGAACTCTTTAAGACATCTGAGACCAGCCAGGTGGTGGTGGCGCACGCCTTTAATCCCAGCACTCAGGAGGCAGAGCCAGGCGGATCTCAGTGAGTTCCAGGCCAGCCCGGGCTACAGAGTGAGTTCCAGGACAGGCACCAAAACTATACAGAGAAACCCTGTCTCTGAAAAAAAAAAAAAAAAGACACCTGAGACCAACATGGCAAAATGTTGACATCAAGCCTGGTGGCGGTCACATGTGTGTCTGTTACATTGGATTACTTTACCAATAAACAAGATTAAAAGTTTGGAGAATGTATAATAGTATAAAGAAAAGCAACTTCACTCATAATCCAACCACTCTAACAACCACTGATAACAACTTTTGTCTTTTTCTCATCATATATCTTAAAGCCTAAACTGACACATATTTGTCTCTACAATTATATGTCCAGCTCTTTCATATTTAAAAAATCCCATGACATTTTAAAAAGCCAAATGTTCAACAATAGGTGAAATCACTGGCCATGAAAGGAAAACTGGATTCTGTTTGAAATTTTGAACTAGAACCTAGTAAGCCTAGTGAGCCATGTACATTACTGAGTTAGCTCAGAGGTCTGAGCTCCAGGATTTGTGTGTCGCTTGACATCAACAGCTGTTCTCCATAGGTCAGCTTCGAGTTTGAAGTGAAGAATGTGCACGTGTATGTGTTTAAGGCTTTCCCCTTTTAGAGCAAGGATTTTTAAAGAAAAAATGAAAAACACTCCTTTTATGTAAAATATATTTCCTAAGATGTACATAAAAATTCTGTAACTCCTTTTTCCTGAGAGGAAGAATATGCTCATTAAGTCAACTGAGCACAAGAAATTGTGGATTTTTTTTTTTTCCAAGACAGGGTTTCGCTGTGTAGCTTTGCGCCTTTCCTGGAGCTCACTTGGTAGACCAGGCTGGCCTTGAACTCACAGAGATCCGCCTGGTTCTGCCTCCCGAGTGCTGGGATTAAAGGCATGTGCCACCACGGCCTGACAAAATTGTGGAATTTTTAAAAGGAGAAAGACCATGCAAATAATAACCGTGTGTGTGTGTGTGTGTGTGTGTGTGTGTGTGTGTGTTCTCATTCATGCACATGCAGGGGACTGAATCCAGGGCCCCAAGAATACAAAGCATTTGCTCTGGTTTTCACAGAAATGAAGACACGAGGCCTTAAGTGATGGATGAACACTGTAGAAATGCTCACCAAAAGTTTCATCCCTAGCTTTCTCAGTTGCTTCTTTTATCTTCTGGTCACGGACTTGAACATCCCAGGCTTGTGTGTCTCCCTAGGAATGGACATGGGAAGAGAGGTTAGAGCCAGCTAACATTATTCAGTAGGCCACAATCCCCCTCATCTGGCCATAGCATCAACAAACTGCCTTCCCATGCTTGTATGGCTTTGTTTATAGCTGGGTGTCCTGCCTATGCTGTCAGCTTTCATCAGAGCATCCTTCACTTCCTTAACAGACACACACACACACCCTCTCAACACTGCTTAGAAACTCTTCTGAGAAACCCTCTGTGATTTCCCCTTCAGGCTCCAGTCTGTGCTGGTGCTCATCCCACTGCATTTTCTGTGGCCGTTTTAATAAGGCATTGCCTCTTTCAGTACGTGGTAAACTCTGCAAGGTCTCCCACTTCCTGGACCCAACTCGGGCTAGCCAGGGCATTTGTCACCTGGAAGAATGAACGAAGTAGGGGGAAAGTAAATCTTGTCTCCATTCCCCCACTGGCTCCCGCTGGGACACTGCTGGAGGGGTAAGGCTTTTCAAGTCGACCCAGCCAAACCTGGTGCTTCGATATAAACGCTCCTTCCAAGCATTGGCTCCTCTGCGTCCCTGGTGCCTCACCCCAATGATCCTGTTCCTGGCGTCGAAGACCCGTCCCTGCCTGCACAGCTCCATGTACCGCCTCTTGGCTAGGTTAGCGTCCTGGCGCAGGTCCTGGAGCATCGCTACCTCCATGGTTTTGGAATCGGGCATGAAACAGCCTTCAGAACACACACGGTAAGAAAAAGGCCACAGAAATAAGCCAGCTGCAGCTCCGAAAAGCAGCGCTCCCAAAAGTTCGGGAGCCCGTCTGTCCCCGCAGCCACCCGCAGCCCGCTTTCCGCAACAAGCGGCGGCGCAGGGATCGGATTCCCAGGGAAACACCAACCAACCTCCGTTGCTAAGGAACGGAGCCTCTCGCGCGCGCGCGCCCCAGTCTCGCGAGACTTGGCCAAGGGCCTTCCCGCGCTTTTGCCTCCCTGGCGCACGACGAGGAAGCGGCGGAGGCGCGGAGGGCAGCCATGGGGCGGCTGGAGCTGCTGCTCGTGGAGAATTTCAAGTCGTGGCGAGGCCGCCAGGTCATCGGTCCCTTCAAGAGGTTCACCTGCATCATCGGCCCCAACGGCTCTGGTAACCGGCGCTCCAGGGCAGTTCGGCCTGAGGGGACGCACAGGCCGCTGCCGCCCGCTGTGGACCTGAGAGGACCCAGGGGCCCCGGCCTGGACCCCAGGGGCCTGCTCTCGCCCGTGGTTGGCCTGAGGGGACCCAGCCACTCCCAGGCCCCACTGTCACCTGCTGTAGGCCCGAGGGGACACCCCATTTCCCCCCCCACACTTCCTCCCCCCTCCCCCCTGCTCCGCCCCTTGACCGCTGTAGGCCCCAGGGAACCCACTTGACCGCTGTAGGCCCGAGGGAACCCACTGCCGGCCTGAGGAGACCCAGTGACCCCCCCATCCCTGCTGTAGACCTGAGGGGACACCCCACTACCCCCTCCTCCCTCACCCCTTCTCACCCCCCACCCCCCCCCCACCGCTGTAGGCCCGAGGGAACCCAGGGACCCGGGTGGCAGCCTGAGGGGGACCCAGGGGCCTCTTGTTGCCCGTTGTTGGCCTGAAGGGACCCAGCGTGACCGCCACCCCCTCCAGCCCCCCCACCCGCATCACCCGCTGTAGGTCTGAAGGGGACCCAGGAGCCTGGGGCCGCCCTGTGGCCCGAGGTTTCACTGCTTCCTAATGGGCTGGGTCGGGCCAAGAGCCCCAGACTGCTCCCGCCACCACCCTTGCTGGCTGTCCTCGCCCATCCCCAGCCCCCCTCCGCTGTCGTTCCCCACCGCCTCACCCCAACAGCAGCAAATACTGAGAATGAAATGGATTTGGCCTTTGTTGGGACAATCAAAACCCGTCGTAACCCGGGCATAGTTAATGTAAAGAGAGGGAATTGTAGTGCCTAAAAGGTAATTTCTAAAATAGGTTTCCTGACTGGTGCTGCGTTTAAATCAGTCACAGCAGAGGTCTCCAGTCTGAACACAGCAGATCTGGTGTATTCATCTTTTTCAGCAAATGATTGTTAAGCCTCCACCGGCAGGCCTGCAGTTAATGTTTACTAATCATACGACCTGAAGTTACCCCCTGATTCACCATCCGGCTTATTTTTTTCCATTTTGGATAATCTAGTGGTACAATCTTTTTTTTTTTTAAACAGTATTTTCATTTAAAAATAGTATACATGGCTGGGCGGCAGTGGCACATGCCTTTAATCCCAGCACTCAGGAGGCAGAGCCAGGCGGATCTCTTAAGTTCGAGGCCAGCCTGGTCTACAGAGCAAGACCCAGGACAGGCACCAAAACCACACAGAGAAACCCTGTCTCAAAAAAAAAAAGTATACATGTAACATACAAAACTTGAAAATAAGAATAGAAAATCAAACATTTATTTACAATTCAGAGATGATAGCTCTGTTCCTTTGGGGCATCTCTATACAGATTTTTCCCTACGTAAACTTTAAAAAAAATGAGTTAATATGTACTGTTTCTCCTTCAGAAGATTAGCCTTTCATTACATGTTCATCTGATGTTCAAATTCAGATTTCCTCAACTAATTTCAAAAAGTCTTCAGCCAGAACCCTTTCCACTTCAGACCTACATAATGTATCAGAATGTTATATCCTTTAAATTTATCTTAATTTAGTACAGTGCTTTTATTTTTAAATCCTTTCTTGACTTCCCATAATCTAAAGCATAAAGTTCAATTCCTTTAATGTAGTGTGTTGTAATTAGATAACTTATCCAGCCTTTTCTCTTACACTCCCAAGTATAAACTTTATAAAAGTAATATTCTGCTTTTTTTAAAAAAAAAACTGGAATGCCGGGCGGTGGTGGCGCACGCCTTTAATCCCAGCACTCGGGAGGCAGAGCCAGGCAGATCTCTGTGAGTTCGAGGCCAGCCTGGACTACCAAGTGAGTTCCAGGAAAGGCGCAAAGCTACACAGAGAAACCTTGTCTCGAAAAACCAAAAAAAAAAAAAAGAACTGGAATAGTACCATGCTCTTTTATTCCTTTGTATCTATGATCAAGTTACTGTCTTTTCCTGGAATGATATATTTACCTTTAACACTCCCCTCTCCAAACTGACTTAGTCCTTGAAACTTCATCTGGAATTATTTCCTGAAAAGCTAACTCAGGCTAGAGAAGTGGCTCAGTGGTTGCAAGTACTAGCCACTCTTCAGAGGACCTAGATCCAGTTTCCAGGACCCCTGTGGTTGCTCTCAGCCATCTGTAATTCTAGCTCCGAGGAATCTTGACAACCTCTTCTGGCTTCTGCAGGCACCAGGCACACATGTAGTATGCATACACACATTCAAGGCAAAACACTTACGCAATAAAATTTTTAAAAAAGATCCAACTTGATCTCTAGCTATTGGTGCTTCTGTTAGGGGTTTCTGTGGCATTTCACATTTTTCCTTAAAGTTATTATAGTAAATTTCCCACATTTATTGGAAACAATGTATTTTGGGAATCAAATATTTCACTTTAAAACATGTTTGACTTTGTGCCTCTTCTTTTGTAAAATGCAAATACCAAATTTGCAAAAATTATTGCAAAAAAAAATAACAGATGGCAAGTGTCCAGCACCAAAGTGGTTCAACAGATTGATCACATTCTCCCACTATAAGCACTTTAAAGCAATGGAAAGAAAAATAACAGCAAGTTTAAAGAGCTAATTGACTTTTGTTTGTGATTGTATCATCACGCCACACCTCATTCTATGAAGTAGAATGGGTATTGTAGGAATAATAGAGTGGTTGGCTTTTATAAGAACAATAAAAGTGGATTGGCCAACAGTGAGGTATGACAGGTTACTTTCCTTATACCCAGCTGAGGTAGATTGGACTCTAATTGGTTGTTGTGAGCTTCCTGCTTTCAGGACAAGCCAGTCTATGTGGGGATTTACTTCCTGCCTTAAAAATTCAGTTTGGGGAAAAAAAAAAAAAAAGCCGGGTGGTGGTGGCGCACGCCTTTAATCCCAGCACTCGGGAGGCAGAGCCAGGCGGATCTCTGTGAGTTCGAGGCCAGCCTGGACTACCAAGTGAGTTCCAGGAAAGGCGCAAAGCTACACAGAGAAACCCTGTCTCGAAAAACCAAAAAAAAAAAAAAAAAAAATTCAGTTTGATTGTGTGGAACTTACGAGTTATTCTGTTGGTTTGGTCTCATAGTCTGATATCTAGTTAAGAGGATAGTCCAAAACTGTGACTTCCATTAAATTTTGATAGAGCAAAACCTATATTTTACTGCTTTTTAGGCCTGGTACTTAACAGAATGCCTGGTAAATGTTCAGAAAATGTTTGTAGGATGAATGGATATTTTGAGGGCTAAGAGATCAAAGATTAAAGAGGCTTTTAAGAATTTTAAATAGGAAAGGAATGGCAAAAAGGAGAGGTACACAGTTATGTTTCAAGGAGTTTTCAAATCTTGGTTCATTTGTATTAAGCGATCATAGCCTAAAATACAACTCTTTCAGAATAGCTACTTTCTTAATGTTCTTTTAAAATTATTCATAGCAGGTATCCACAGTCTCTTGGCTTGGTTTGTTCAGTTTTTTTCTTTCTTTTTTAATAACAGATAGTGGTTAATACTAGTTGACAGATAAACACTTTTCATTTCTCTTGCAATTACTCTATTCTTTCATCTCCCAGTTTTATCTGTCCATATTTATTACCATTTGTAATTGTCTTTTTTGTTTATTATCTGACTATCTTAAGAAAATACAACTTTTTTACCTGGATGTGGTGGTGCATGCCTTTAATCCCAGCCCTCAGGATGCAGAGGCAGGTGAATTTGTGAGTTTGAGACTGTCCTGGTCTACATGGAGTTTAAGGCGGCCAGGGCCACATAGTGAGATCCTGTTCAAAAAATAAAAATAAAGCAAACCTTTTGGACACATACATTGAGTGAAAAATTTAATTGGGGAAAAATATTTTTGAGAAGATTTTCAATAAAGATCCATCTATTTGGCTTCATTTCTGCCACATGATTCAGTTCAGTGAATGTTCGTTTTGTCCTACATGTGTGTCTTATAGTAGCTTTCAATATGAAGTTTATCAATCTTCATAAGCCATGATTTTTGCTGCTTTTTTTTGTTTTGTTGTTTTGTTTTTTCAAGACAGACTTTCTCTGTGTAGCCTTGGCTGTCCTGGAATTCACTCTATAGATAAGGCTGGCCTCGAATCCAGAGGTCTACATGCCTCTGCCTCCTGAGAGCTAGGATTTAAGGCATATGCCACCACCACCTGGCTGTTGTTGTAGCATTTAAAAAACTTATTATTGTTCTTTTTAGAAGGACTTTAACCCTCTAAAACCACCTTTGTTTACATTACTTTCTGGCACTGGAAATTCAAATTGCTTGTGTAATAGCTGAACTGACATTGCATCTTGGAATTACAGCTATTTATGGGTTCATAGTTGTGAAATGTTAGAAATAGGTTTGGGGTCACAAAGAAAAAGACCACTACTCCAGCTGAAGTATCTTAACAGATGTCTTGATGAAGAGGGTATGCTGGGAAGAGCAAGCTCACTGAGACTGGAAGTGCACTTGTTTTTTCTAAGGCAGATAGTGTCTTTTTCCCGTTAGCTGGGTTCTGACCTCAGTCTTGGCAACTGGCTAGTTTTAAAAGAATTGGGGCAAAAGGAATGAAGGAAAGCAGGAAGCAGTCAGCCAATTAATTCACTTAAGTTCTGGGAATATAGTAGAACCTTGTGTAGGAAAGGATTTACTTGGTGAGGAGATAAAATATTTGAATTCCTTGTTTCAAAAACAAGGTTGGTTTTTGTTTTTGTTTTTGTTTTGAGACAGGGTTTCTTTGTGTAGCTTTGGAGAAGCTATAGATCTGTAGACCAGGCTG